AAGTATCTGTGATTTACTTTGTGCCTCTTTAATACATTTTTTGTTCAAGTCTAAGACCCAAAATAGTGAGGATAGATTACTTTTAGCTTTTTCCATTTTGTACCATGTTTCTTTACTTTCGCATTGTTTTGGGAGAGCAATATGTGGAAAAGATAACATTGCTAAATTTCTGGGCACCCAAATCCTCCATCTTGCCTTGACCTGGCCAAGTTTTTAATTTTAACCTTTGCTTTCTTGCCACCCCATATAAATTAAAAAAAGGATGAATGTAGTAAAGATAGACAGTTTTCTGGGAAGTTGTGAGGGATCATTTTCTTTAAATACAGCCATTTTGGTAAAATATACAGTCAGGTCCATAAACATTGGGACATCGACACAATTCTAATCTTTTTGGCTCTATACACCAACTCAATGGGTTTGAAATGAAAACAAGATGGTCCCTTGAAAAGTGAAAGGCACATATACAAACTGTTGGAATTCCTACACCGTTCACCTGATTGGATGTAAATACCCTCAAATTAAAGCTGAAAGTCTGCAGTTAATGCATATCTTGCTCATTTCATTTCAAATCCATTGTGGTGGTGTATAGAGCCAAAAAGATTGGAATTGTGTTGATGTCCCAATATTTATGGACCTGACTATATTTATTCTGATACTCCTCTGATTCTTAAGTTGTTCCATCTTGACCTGTCTTCCAGGTCTATCAGTTTGTTCTCCATGTGAGCTAGTTTTTTTTCTACTGTTAGGTGTTCTTCTTTGTGGACTTTTTTCTTGTATTTCATCCCGTTTAATTTCTCTTCTATCCATTGTATCCATAAATTAAGAGACAGCAGTTCTTTCTTAATGTCCAGGTTATTAACTTGAATTTCTTCTCTTAATTTCCCAAATTGTGTATCTAGGTGTCTGAGTAGGTGGTCATATTCATTTCTTCCTTCTCTTGACTGTTGATTTTCCTCCATTTGTCCTTTATTAATATCTCCCTCTATTGGGATATTTGATAGGAGAGATTCCTCCAGGTTTGGCTTATTTCCTGGAGGATGTGGTGAAAAAAAGGAAAGGCGTTTTTCTGTTTTGTTTTCTGGTTTCTTTTCTTTTTTTCAAATGCTTGCCATTTTGTGTCTTTTTAGTGTCCATTTTGTTTATTGGTTTATTTACTCTCCTCTACTCTTCACCTTCTCCCCCACCTTCTTGTCACTTTTATACCCAGTTATATTTTATCTTTCTTTTTCTATTTTGCGTTCACTTATTCCTGCTTTAATGGAGTAGTGAATTCAGTGTGAAAAATAGAAAAAATAAGGATGGCGTACAAGGGGGCTGGAAGGAACAGCAAGAGAGAAAAAGGAACAAGCCAAAAAATACACAAATTAGTAAATAAAACAAACAAAAAAACCACAAGGAAAATTAACCCAACCCGCTTAACACGTTCAGACAATCAGCTCAGCACTGTGAGCAAAGTTGAATGAACTTTAAATCATCTATTGCCCACTGAGTTCTGCTCTTTATTTTCTCCTATATTTCCCCTCTTTCTCAAGGATCCCTTAGTCTTTAACTGACCAAAAATGTAAACTGTATTCTTTGTACATTTCCCTACTGACTATACACATGCATTTTAAAATCACTGGGCACTTAGCTTTTTGAAATATTCTCTGGATCTGTTTTTTTGCAGCTTTCCATTTCCTTCTGCTGTCTTTATTCACGGAGGAGCTGGCTGTATTGCATTGTCCTGTCCGGCATGAAGGTAAGTAGCTCCCTTTTTCTTAGCCCGGCATCGGGTCCTCTTTGACCGTTATGTGGGGATTTGTAAAGCACCCCAAGTAGCATGCCACGTAGATCAAGCTGTCCCATCAGCTCTTGGTTGACTCCCTCGATTGCCCCCCTCAGCCGCGTTCCAAGAGGACGCACACTACGCACGTTACGTCATCACTACACCCCCTCCAGCAGGCTATGCATGTCCAGATAAACGCAATTAAGACAGGAATTCAGTCTATTCCTTCGGCATAAAGACGAATGAATGAATAGAAATTTCACACTAACAAACAAAGAATGTATATCAGTGTTTGTTTGCCTGTTCTTTCAGTTTATTACAAGAAGAGAGCTACTGACTTGCAGCTCCCTCCATGTAATATGTAAAAATAGAAGCAGCGGGGAGCTGCTCCCAGCCACTTCTTAATTCCCCCATATCCCCCTAACTCAATGGGGGTCAATATGACCCCCATATTAGCATAAGGAAGATTAAAATCTTGCTATGCCACGAGTAGGGGCATGTCTACTAAACAGTGATAAGCCTGTGGATGCTCACTGTAGTAAAAAAAAAAAACCTTCCCTGCAATAAAGTGCCCCATGGTGGGCACCTATTTAAATAATTAACTTGGAAACATAGAGTCCCCACAAACCCCCACCCCTATTGTCATTTAGGGCCCACACCTGACGCTCATGGGTGGAGGCCAGGGGGGGACCATAGGTCCTCCCCCCTATTGTAATTTAGAGCCCCCAACTGCCGCTCATGGGTGGGGGCCAGGGTGGTAGAAAAGGTCCTCCACCCCATTGTCATTTAGGGCCCCACCTGTCATGGGTGAGGTCCGGGGGGAGGACAATAGGTATTCTCCCTCTATTTTCATTTAGGGCCCCCACCTGCCGTTCATGGGCCGGGGGGACCCTATGTCCCCCGTTTAGTTGAATAGCCCTCACTTATGGGGCTGAGGGGGACACTATGTTCCCCCACCAGTTATTTTAATAGGTGCCCACCATGGGGCACTTTATTGGAAGTTGGGGTCTTTTTTTTTTTACAATAGTGTGACGCCACAGACTGCTCACTGTTTAGTAGACATGCCCCTACTCACGACATAGTGAGTAAGGGCAGAAGGGAGATGTTAATCTCTTTTATTTATTAATACTAAGTCGTTTTTACTTAGTATTAGTAAATTTGGTGTTTCCCCTTGTTTTCTCATGTATTTCTTGCATTGTGCCCTGTTTCCCCATTCGGGAGCACCCATACAAACAGCACCCATTCGTCTCCCGAATGGGGACCACCCCGGTATCCCACTAGAATGTTCACAGCAATTACTTAGAACGTTCACACCAATAACTTAAGTGCGAAACCGCAAGGAAAGTAATTAGTGAGTGCTCCCCTGGGTGGCCACCATTTTTCATAGACAAACGCAAACCAGGGGGAGCATTCATATCCTGAAAGAAAGTGCTTCCCTTGCCTGGTGGTCGAACAGGAACCTCACAAACGGAGACCAATCGGGGAATGTACTTTTGTGTTGTTCCTGAGGTTGGTGGGGACACTTTTGGGGTACTGTCTATTTTGGCGGGGTTTCTGTGCCTGGGAGACACAGGGGCTAGAATCTTTTCCCGCTCCTTGGCTCCAAGTCACAGAGGATCCTGGAATAAAGACCCTTGTCTTCTTGCGTAGAAAACCCCTTGCATGGGTGGCGGGCTTTCTGTACCTGGGACAGAATTTTATCCCAAGCTGGCTGGCCCAGCATCATTGTCAATCTCATTGATGATCTCATTGGAAAAAAACTCCAAATGCTGTAACCACTTAAGGTATTTAAACCCTGCAATGTAAACATATCTGCTCCTACACAATGGCAATGTTTTAAACTGCAGGGTTAAAAAGAGAGGGACATGGCACCCTGACCACTTCATTGAGATGAATTGGTCTAGGTGTCTATAGTGTCCCTTTAAGGTGTGGACAGGAACATAGGCCTCAATTTAATATTACTGAATACACTTTTTAAATAATTTAATATCATGATTTTGGAAGATTCCCTTCTATTAATTTGATATACAGTATCTCACAAACGTGAGTACACCCCTCATATTTTTTGTAAATATTTTATTATATCTTTTCATGTGGCAACACTGAAGAAATAACACTCTGCTACAATGTAAAGTAGTAAGTGAACAGCCTGTATAACAGTATAAATTTGTTGTCCCCTCAAAAAAACTTTACACTTAGCCATTCATGTCTAAACCGTTGGCAACAAAAGTGAGTACACTCCTAAGTGGAAATGTCCAAATAGCGCCCTGAAGTCAACACAGAAAACATTGTGACCAGGAAATGGACTGGCATTGACGCAGAGTAATGGGACTTCATTATTTCATTCGTTTGCACTTTCTCTTTTATCCAAGGACTTGCATATTATTGCGGTAGTGTATGTATGTATTTCTTTTGCACACTGCCTATATATGTCCTGTTTTAGTATTTTTAATTGAAATAATCAGTTTTTTGGAATATACCCTGAGTCTGCTTCAGAGATACCATCAAAGCCAAACATTGGCACCCTAATACTTCTTATATAGAGCCTGGCACGGCTCTACACTTGTGAGTGTAACTTTTATTATTACTCATTTTTTTTTCAATTGTACAGATTACTCTATGTGTGGTTGTATTTATTTGTTGTAGATCCTAAGAGTGGTACTACTACTTACCTACAGTGGATGTCTATTGGGAAGTATATATATATATATATATATATATATATATATTTTACCTTCTAATTCATGTTCAATCTATCGCCAAATCCTGTCATTTCCGTCTCAAAAACATGCCCCGCGCATCCGCCCTACTTAACTCCAGACGCGACTAAGGTGTTGGTCCATTCCACTGTCCTTTCTCGCCTTGACTACTGTAATCCACTTCTCAGTGGTCTTACGTGCTCCCAACTTACAGTCCATAATGAATGCGGCGGCGAGGCTCATCTTCCTGTCCGCCCGCACCTCCCATGCCTCACCCTTCTGTCAGTCCCTACATTGGCTTCCTATAAAATATAGAGCTCAATTCAAAATTCTGGTTCTTGCTTTCAAATCTCTACATAATGCTGCTCCCACCTATCTATCCTCCCTTATACACAAGTATGTCCCGTCTAGGTCCTTACGATCTGCTGAAGACTTACGTCTATCTTCTGTCCGTACTCCCAGCTCTGATGCTCGCCTTCAAGATTTCTCAAGGGCTGCACCGTTCCTGTGGAACTTGCTCCCCTCTTCCGTTAGATGCTCACCCAGTCTCCACTCCTTCAAAAAATCATTAAAAACCCACTTCTTCATAAAAGCGTATCAATTAAACTGTTAAGAGCTCCTGACTGATTCCTCTTCTGCAACTGTCACTAGTCTAATACTATCCTTACCTTTTTGTGTCATTTTACCCCACTCCCTCTAGCATGTAAGCTCATTGAGCCGGGCCCTCAACCCCTCTGTTCCTGTGTGTCCAACTTGTCTGGTTACAACTACATGTCTGTTCGTCCACCCATTGTAAAGTGCTGCAGAATTTGACGGTGCTCTATAAATATAAAAATAATAATAATAATAATTAATAACACTGGGTGTTGTAAATGTTTGGTAGTGTTTGACATTACTAGTCTTTTAGTTTATATATGATTAGCATAATTGCTAATTAAATTTGTTTATTGCAAATTAATTTAGTTTGCAAATTATGCCATAACTACAGTCGCAGAGGTCACAACACAGTGGCATAGGGAGCCGCGACACTGCAAGCCTCTGAACAATGAATACAGAGACTAGCTTTCTGTATCCAGCTCTGCAAGCTTGTCCTTTAATACAACTAAAGCACCTTATACACACAATGCAACCCCTATTTTCTTCCACTGTGGGTGTTAGTGGGGTCCTCATGTTTGAGTCTCGCCTAAGGCCTCACGAAGTCGAGAGGATTTTACTGGGTATATCTGTAGTCTACCCCGCTCTGTGTACTGTATAGATATTTATGTTTTGTGCCCAGCTCTGTGTATTGTATTTCTATTTTGTTCTCAGCTATGTTTGTGGTATGGTTATCTTTGTATTGTACTCAGCTCATTGTATTTTATAGTAATGGAGGAGGCTCCTCAACAGCTCTAGCATTTAGCCCTCTACACACCATTTACATATGATCTCTTGACTACTTTAATGTATGACACACTTTTTTAAGTGTTATGTTGTTTTTGTTTTTTTTTATCACATTTAATGTTTCATTTGTTCATTTGCATGAACCATCTGCTTAGTTCAAAATGGCAGAAGTTTGTTTTTATTCATATCAAGTCTGTACAATTTTCTCAATACTCAGATATTAGTGCACAGCACAAGAATAATCCAACTTGAAACAGTCAGATTGAGCCATCCTAACTCCTCTTTATCTTAGTTTTTCCTTCGAAAATCATTTGAAAGTCACACTTACGTTTCCTCCAGAACAGAAACTATTATATAAAAGATCATACAGGAACTTTGATTTTGTTATACTTGTGTTTTTTTCTGCCCAAAGAACTACTTACCGGTTTATAATGCTCTTTTCTGATGTGGTAAGATAAGAATGATTTGGGTTTTGGGACCTCATTGAGATTAATGCCTCACATGGTACATTTGGAGGTTTGATGCAGTAGAAAAATTCACCATCTCTTTTATCTGCATACACACATTTATCTTCTTGAGATTCTAAATTAAATCCACAAAGTTTCTCAATCTCTTGAGATTTATAGAGAAATTTTCCAATGAATATAATATTTTTATATCCCGCATTCCTAGCTCTCCATAAAACAGACACACCCTCACTTGGATGATATAAAATAATTGATATTTTCACATTTCCTTCCCAAGATAAAATGAAATGGATATTATAGGATCCATTATTAAAATCTTCAACTCTTCCAGAAGCAGCAGCTCCAAGATCGGTGGAATAGATCCGTGCTGTTAAGAAATCTCCTCCATATGTCTTCCTTTGTCCCAAATAGTTGAACATTTCAACACGGACAGTTAAAGAATCTCCGTTACAATACTGTTGTCCGTAATGTAATATAGTTGCTCTGCTTTTTTTAGCACTTGATGTCAGATTTAAATGTGTGAAATAGACATTTGCGATACTGTTATTTATGGTATTAAAAATCTGGTTTATTTCAAAGTCCTTCTCAGAAATATGACTGATGTTGGAGCCATAAGAGCCCAGGAATGAAACATTGTTTTTTTAACGTGATATTTGAAGAATTTCAGGCTTGAAATACTGTTAGGAAAATAAAAATAAAATAATTATTTATTGACTAAGCTGTCTCCTCTTTAAATTGACATTTCAGATTATAATCACGGAGTAAACATACCTGGATAAATTTTCGGTGATATGTGAAGATTAGCATTAGAGCAGCAATCCATGAAATAACCAAACTGATCTTATAGCCTTTGGTTGTAAAGTAGAACATGTTCACAGTTCTATAAAAGAGAATGGATTAATTTATTGGTAACTCATTAAAAACTTAGTCAAAAGAAACAGAATAAAAATTAAAGCAGTTTTTTATACTAACACTACAATAATATATATAAACTATTTAAACAATAAAATAAACACATCATTTGGTAATTTACAGATATTTTGCAAATTCATTCTGAACAGATAAACTGCACCAAAATACCTATGATGTGATTTTAACAGATTTGGAGAATTTTCACAGATCACCCTTTTTCCATGAGTTTGCAATTTAAATGAAAAATCTAAAGAAAGCCAACATAAAATAATGTGGTACTCATTTATTGCAGAATGTACATTAACGGTTAACCCTTCAGAACATGGTAGGACTGTCACATTATGGGCTTTGGAAATTTAGTAAAAAAATATTTTTTTGATTAAATGATTTACATTCTATGCTATATTGCATTGTTTCAATGTAGTGCTGCAAACTTCTCTTTTTATGTTTTTTTTTCTCCTCCATTTTTCCTCTTTTACTTTCTATCCCTATTCCTGGTTTATTCTGGTTATTCCCTGCTTCCATGCATTTATCACTCTCAAAATCATGTTCTGCTAATTATGGCAGCCCACAACCCTTCTCCCTAATGAGTGTTTATGTATGTTTACTGAGCTGGAATTACCCATTAGGCAGCCAATGTGGCCACCCAGGGCCTAGCATCAGATGTCTGAGTCTGGAGTTCTGTCTCTGATCAAGCCCCCTCTGCACCTAGCCAGCAGGAAAATTAAAAGGTCTCCCTGTTGGATTTTTACATGATTACCTGGTGATCCATGGAGCAGCAGCAGTTCCCAACATGAAACAGACCCGAAGGCCTGCAACTGCACCAACGGACCACCAGGGATTGTATTTGTGCTTCACCTTTCTTGCCCAGAAGGTAAGCAGAAGGAGGTCAATTGTTATATTGAAGAGAAAAAGGTTTTCAAGTGTGGGACTGCGTTTAACCACTGCCAATGGGTGGTGGTCCAAAGTGAGGACACTTGGTCCAACCCCTGTTTAGAACCCCCATCCACCATTACTATCTGTGAGGGACACTAGGTCCCCCCCTTTAATCATAAAAGACCACGACACATAATTTTTGGAGGATAGGGTGGAATTAGGATATCACCCATTTTCTTTTATTAAATAATGTCTCCCTGCTGGCCATGGGTGGAAGTTGAACAGTGATCTGGATACCTCCCAGACTATTCTACCTTGTTACTTAACAGGACTTTCTTCATAGGCCTTTGTAGTGACTTGGCAGCAATGACTTCAAACCTCCTTTGACCCCGATAGGCATTGTTATTTTTTTTTTTTAAACCTATTTAAAGTGGCTGCTAGTAAGCAAGCGCTGGCCACCCCCCCCATGTCTGTTTGTGTATAAAGCTCAACTCCCCTCACCCTAATACACCCCTTCCTCCAACCCTGCCACATCTACCCCAGCCATGCCACACAACATTGTCACATTAACTCCCCTAATCCTTTCACACTTACTCCCCTCACTCTGTCACATTACATCCTCCAACCATATCACAATCACCTCCCAACCCTGTCACCCTCACAGCCCAACCCTGTCTCATTCACACCTTTTGCCCTGTCACACTCCCCTTGCCATAGTTACCCCCTTTACCCACCCTGTCACAGTCACCCACTGAAGATAGTCATCTTACTCATTATAAAACATAGTGGGAGGACAGGGTCCAGGGGGCCCAAGCAAATGCTGAGGGCCTTAATTGCAAAATCCAGTTGAAAAGTGTAAACAGTATTTGGAGTTTGTATCCAGAATGGTCTTATATAAACTGGTGAGATAGCTCAGTGGGGTAATGTATTCTCAGTAAAATCTGTTCAACTCTAGGAGGTCTCAAGGTCAATTGTTGGCATCCTTCCAAGGTTGATAACATGAGTTCTGTTAAATTGGTTATTAGTGACATCTCCAGGATAAACTTGGTTAAACACTATGTAATTATTATTATTATAATTATATAGTTTTCCCCATTTGGTACAGGTTTATTTGGACTTTAGTGAAAAACCCTGTGACTAATACATTCTAAATTGGCTGAGAGTGTATAGAGTTCAACTTCCATTACCCATACAAATATCTAAACAGTGAAGCTGAGAGATCTTTGTTTTGTTTATTTTTGCAGTGCATAGATAATAACACAAGCTAGATTTGGACATGACTGTACGATAATAGAATGGTAATAGTAACAAATATTATCAGTATCAGCCGAGAAAAATGCACTATTTTTTGATTTAAGAGATATATAAGCGATGAATAATATGAGTAACAATATAAAATTCCCCCCAGAAGGTCCTTGGCATAGACTTATTATTAGCAAACACCCCAAACTAAAAAAGCTCAGCTAAACAATGAGAGGCCTAAGCAAAAAAAAAATGTAATATTAGGCAGATAAAATTATTTTCCTTGCCAGAGTAGTTATAGAGCTTCGGTCAGCCGATGCCTTCCAGGAGTTGAGCACAGTTCCACTGTTGGGGACAGTGCCCCAGGCCTTGTCACCCCAGTGAGTGCATGTGGAACTTGTAAGTATGATGGCGACAGTATCCTCCTCTTCACGCATAGGGAAATTTACATCTGTTACCAGCCTGGAATTCCTTACTCTTATTTAGAGTGGGATTTATTCCTTTTCTTGGTATTTATTTCGTTATTACAAGGGTTAAGCCCTGGGTGGATCTGGTATCACCCACACTGACCTTGCTGCTCATTGATCGAGGTGTTTCCTGAATTAATGATACAGTTATCTCCTAGTTCTACAAGGTTGGCCCTCAGCCTTCTCCGCTATGTGTCGCATTGGTCAGCACTTCCTTGTTTGGACTTGACATGGTGCCGAAACCACTGGAGGGGGACGAGCACCTTAAAGGCACCCCTTGGAGTGGGTTACAGTCTGGCTTTTCCGATGTAGGTGGTTGCAGTCTGCGCTTCAATTTCCTCCAGAAATCTGTGACGATCCTGTCTACTGTGGACATGTGTATGTCTTGATTGCTGTGCTCTGATGCATATATGGCGTC